CAAACCGAGAGCTGTTCTACCACGTATTCCGACCCATTCCCCATCGATCAACTGCCACTTACAACTGCGGAGATTTATCTCCATTTCACCTTAGCCATTGGCCATGCAAGTTGAGCATCAACCTACCAACTCAACTGATGAGTTCACTGACTTCAACCAAAGAAACAGTGAACTAAAACACCCGTTCGCTGGACCATATTGGGGCTGTCTTTTTGCTGACAGTGTGCGTTTGGGTGATTTGCTGGGTGATTTGCTTTGACCGGTGATCCAGATGCTTCGATCCAACCTCCGTGAAGTGTTGGTCACGGCCTGAGCGGAAGACAAGCTGGTGAGACAACGAGGAGGTCGATTTGGTTGCAAGCTTTCGCATGAACTTATGCTGTTGTGAGAGGCCGTAGCTGTAGATTCACAACCCTGGCAAAAAGGCACAAAAAATACAAGTTGTTCCCGGGCAAGCCGGCGGCGGAAGTTTCCAAAAGAATAAGCCTATAGGAAATGTGCATGTGGCAGGCTGATTCGCCGAGCTGCGATGTTCTTTGACAAGACAAGTTGGACCCGACCAATGGAGCCGAAAGCGAAGCAGCCACCGTCAACTGTCTCGCAGGAAAAAACGTTGTTCGTGCATTTTGCAACATACAGAATAGAGATGACTCGGCCGCGTACTAAAGTTGTACTACAAAGTCACCAGTTCTCAGCTTCCAGCTCCACAGACTGCTCCGCGTACTAAAGTTGTACTAGACAGTCGCCAGTTCTCAGCTTCCAGCTCCCCAGATACTCCGCGTACTAAAGTTGTACTAGAAAGTCACCAGTTCTCGTCTTCCAGCTCCCCAGATACTCCGCGTACTAAAGTTGTACTAGAAAGTCGCCAGTTCTCGTCTTCCAGCTCCCCAGATACTCCGCGGACTAAAGTTGCACTACAAAGTCACCAGTTCTCAGCTTCCAGCTCCACAGATTGCTCCGCGTACTAAAGTTGTACTAGAAAGTCGCCAGTTCTCATCTTCCAGCTCCCCAGCTACTCCGCGTACTAAAGTTGTACTACAAAGTCGCCAGTTCTCATCTTCCAGCTCCCCAGATACTCCGCGTACTAAAGTTGTAGTACAAAGTCACCAGTTCTCAGCTTCCAAATTGCTCCGCGTACTAAAGTTGTACTAGAAAGTCGCCAGTTCTCAGCTTCCAGCTCCCCAGATACTCCGCGTACTGAAGTTGCACTACAAAGTCGCCAGTTCTCAGCCTGCAGCTCCCCAGATAGTCCGAGTACTAAAGTTCTACTACAAAGTCGCCAGTTCTCAGCTTCCACAGATTGCTCCGCGTACTAAAGTTGTACTACAAAGTCGCCAGTTCTCAGCTTCCAGCTTCCCAGATACTCCGCGTACTAAAGTTGTACTACAACGTCGCCAGTTCTCAGCTTCCACCTCCACAGATTACTCCGCATACTACAGCGTGGTTCACGGCGACGCGCGCAGATCGATGCCTCCCTGCCACGAATTCTGCACATGGAGCTTCACAAAGTGTTGCGCCTGCCACGACATCTGCACTGAATCTGCACATGGGGGTTCACAAAGTGCTGCACCTGCCACGAAATCTGCACATGGAGGTTCACAAAGCGCTGTGCCTGCCACGAAATCTGCACATGGAGGTTCACAAAGCACTGCGCCTGCCACGCAATCTGCGCATGGAGGTTCACAAAGTGCTGCACCTGCCACGAACTCTGCACTTCAAGAAACAAGTGAAAAATCTAATCACAATGGAGGGACGATTCCGCCCATGATCCGAGCATGATCCGAGCATGATCCGACCATGACCCGAGACAGTCTCGCAACCCTCGTTCCGCGGAGCTTCCCCGTCGAGGTTCGGAGCAGCATGGAGGTTCACAAAGTGCTGTGCCTGCCACGAACTCTGCACATGGAGGTTCACAAAGTACTGCGCCTGCCACGCAATCTGCAAAGTGCTGCGCCTGCCAAGTAAACTGGAGCTAGAGCTATTGAAACTAGAGCTAACTGGAGCTAGAGCTCTTGAAACTGGAGCTACCTGGAGCTAGAGCTATTGAAACTAGAGCTACCTGGAGCTAGAGCTCTTGCAACTAGAGCTAACTGGAGCTAGAGCTCTTGAAACTAGAGCTAACGAGTGGCGTATGATGAGTGGTGTATGATGAGTGGTGTATGATGAGTGGTGTATGATGAGTAGTGTATGATGAGTGGTGTATGATGAGTGGTGTATGAAAAGTGGTGTATGATGAGTGGTGTATGATGAGTGGTGTATGATGAGTGGTGTATGATGGTGGTG